CTAGCATGTGAGATGAATGCAGTTGTGCATTAGTTTAAGCATTCTTTGGCATTGCTTTTCTTTGGGATTGGAATGAAAACTGACCTTTGACAGTTCTGCGGCCACTGCTGAGTTTTCCAAATTTGCTGGCCTATTGAGTGTAGCATGTTCACAGCATCGCCTTTTTAGATTTGAAATAACTCAACTGGAATTCTACCACCTCCTCTAGCTTTGTTCGTCGTGATACTTCCTAAGGCCCTCTTGACTTCACATTCCAGGATGTCTGGCTCTAGGTGAGTGTGAGTGATCACACCATCGTGATTATCTGGGTCGTGAAGATCTTTTTTGTACATTTCTTCTGTGTATTCTTGCCACCTCTTCTTAATATCTTCTGATTCTGTTAGGTCCATACTCCTTCTGTCCTTTTCTGAGCCCATCTTTGCATGAAATATTCCCTTGGTTTCTCTAATTTCCTTGAAGAGATCTCCAGTCTTTCCCATTCTGTTGTTTACCTCTCTTTCTTTGCACTGAAACCTGAGGAAGGCTTTCTTATCTCTCCTTGCTATTCTTTGGAACTCTATATTCAAATGGGTATATCTTTCCTCTTCTCCCTTGCTTTTGGCTTCTCTTCATTCCACTGCTATTTGTAAGGCCTCCTCACACAGCCATTATGTTTTTTTTTGCATTTCTTTTCTTGGGAATGGTCTTGATCCCTGTCTACTGTAGAATGTCACAAATCTCCTTCCATAGTTTATTAGGCACCCTATCAGATCTAGTCCCTTAAATCTATTTCTGACTTCCATTGTATAATTGTAAGGGATTTGATTCAGGTCATACCTTAATTGTCTAGTGGTTATCCCTACTTTCTTCAGTTTAAGTCTGAATTTGGCAATAAGTTCATGATCTGAGCCACAGTCAGCTCCCGGTCCTGTTTTTGCTGACTGTATAGAGCTTCTCCATCTTTGGCTCAAAAGAATATAGTCAATCTGATATCGGTGTTGGCCATCTGGTGATGTCATGTATAGAGTCCTTTCTTGTGTTGTTGGAAGATCACGTTTGTTATGACCAGTGCTTTTCCTTCGCAGAACTCTATTATCCTTTGCCCTGCTTCATTCTGTAATCCAAGGTCACATTTGCCTATTCCTCTGCTGCTTCTTACCTTGGACGTGGGGTGTTTCTTCACGGCTGCCGCTACTGACCTTAGAATTGGGGTATCTCCTCACGGCCGCCGCTGCTGACCTTGGATGTGGGGTGTCTCCTTCAGCTGCTCCCCACTCCAGTGCCGTGCAGCAGCTGCTTGCCCTGAGAAAGGCGCAGCCTCCACAAATAAATGGAGGAAGTTCAGTCCAGACTTGGACTGAACCACCAGTGGTTCTTAAGCTTTAAAGTGCCCAGTCCTCTTTACTGCATACAGTGATGTTCAGTGTATCACTAGAACTTTTCCATCTTCCAACTAAGATTTTATGACCATCGAACAGACACTCCCTGCTCTCTTGGAACCACCTTCTACTAACTGCTTCTCTGAGTTTTCCTTTAGATACCTCAGGTAAATGGAATCATGCAGGATTTGTCTTCCTGTAACTGACTTATTTCACTCTTACCAATATTGTCCCACTTCATTCATGTTGCTGAAAATGACAGGGTTTCCTTCGCTTTTAAAGATTGAATCACATTGCAGTGTAAGTAAATTTTGAAGTGTCCAGTCAGTCCTGTTAACTCAATGCACCGTGATGTTCAGCACAGCTCTAGAATTTTCCATCTTTCTATTAAAATTGTATAACCATTGAACAGACCCTCCCTGTGTCAACCTCCTTGCAGCTCTTGGAACCACCATTCTACTCTCTGCTTCTCTGAGTTTTCCTTTGGATACCTCAGGTAAATGGAATTGAGCAGTGTTCGTCTTCCTGTGACTGGCTAATTTCAATCTTACCAATATCCTCCCACTTCATTAATTATTTCAAGTGAAAAGATTGCCTTCATTTTTAAAGACTGAATCACATTCCAGTATATGTATACAGCATATTTTCTTTATTGATGTATCTGCCTGTGGACACTGGGCAGTTTCTCTATATTGGTTGTTATGTACAATGTGGCAATGGATATGAGATTTTAGGTATCTCCTAGACATTCTCATTTTATCTCCTTTGTACATAAACTCAAATGATTGCTGGATTTATGATAAGTCTCTTGATTTTTTGAGGGACTTCCAAACTGTTCCATAATGGCTATGCCATTTTCCATTCCTATCAACAGGGTACAAATGTTCCACTTCTCCACATCCTTGCTAACATCTGCTATTTTCCTTTTGTAATACAAATCCTGAAAAGTGATATCTCTTTTTGACTTGATTTTCGTTTCACTGATACTTAGTGATGTTAGGCACTTTTCTTATGTATATTTATCATTTATATGAAGAAATGTTATTGAAACTTTTTACACATTTTTTAAACTCAGTTATTTGCCTGCTGTTGTTTTGAAGTTGAGTTGTAGTACCTTCTTATATATTCTGGATTTTGTCCCTTATTCAAAGTTTGCAGATACTTCCTCTCATTCTATAGGTTGTCTTTCTTTTGATTGTTGAGGAGACTATCCTTTCTTCTCTTGGTAATTTTAGGACCGTGGCAAAGATCACTTGGCCACACATGTGTCAATTTATTTATGATTCCCTTCTTATGGTTCATTGGTCTCTCTTCTTGTTTTGTTGCCAGTAGAACACTGTTTTGACGGTTGTGGCATTCTTATGTGTTTTGAAATCAGGAAGCCTTAAGGCCCCATTGATCTTTGCCCTCAAGATTGTTTTTTCTCTTTGGGTTTCTTCTGGGTTATATAAATATTATTATTTTGGGATTTTTTTTTCCATTTCTATAGTAATGTCATGAAATTTTGTGAATGGTTTATGTTGTCTAAATCAAAGACTTTTAAAAAAGAAAGAAACTGGGATTTATTGGTGGGATTTCCATGGGTGGATGTGGACAGGATTACTGTTAGGTTGTTGCCAGGGAGTTTGATGAGATGGGGCAGTGGTGTTGGGTTAGTAGAATGAACTTTTGGTCACTGAGGGAAGGAGGGTCTGTCTGTTGATTCTCAAGGAGAATCTTGGGGTGCAGTCTCCAGGTTGTGAGTATGAAGATGATGTTCAAAAAGAATATGGGGCTTTGTTGTCTTCCACTACAAAGTCTAGAGCATGATTAGGATTTAATAGAGTCAGAATTTTAGTAAGGAAAGACTTGAGCTCCTGCCCATTCTTAGCTAGCACTTGGTTCAGGCTGCTGGAATCAGTTCTCAGTTCAGCTCTGAGACTTTGAGCATCACAGACTTAATTAAGTCACCAAAGCCCAGCACAGATGGCCACCTCCCCAGTTGCTGCACATTAACTCCTCATCCAGACTTGGTCAGGTTAAAGGGAAGCTAATTCTTGGTAGAGCCACCATGTGACCTTTGGTTTAGAAGGCTCTGAGACAAATTGACAGCCAAACAGACCACTGGCCACTCAGCAAGGTGACCTGGGCATTAAAAAGGCTGTTGTGACACAGTTGACTGTGTGAAGAGTCTGTGGAGGATGGACAGAGTTGGAATCCTGGGTCTTTCTGAGGGGCTTTGCTCAGAAGAAGCTTGTATTTTGGATCAGGAATTGAAATATAGAGACAAATGGTGGAAGGACGATTTGAGCTCTGTTTCAGGCTGAGGCATCTTCTCAGGGGCATCAGCTCTCATCCACAGAAAATGAGGTGCAGGAGAATTTGAGAGATGGGGATGTTCGTCATTGTGTGACTCTTGGAAAGTCACTTGATCTCTCTAAATTTCAACACCCTCCAGTGTAACATATGGCTTACAGCCCCCACTTTGTTCCCCCTTTCTCCCCAAGAGGGCTGGGTGTCAGAGGAGGTAATCATAGATACTCTCCATGAGCTGTAAAGCCTTGTTTCTGTGAAAAAGCAGGAGTAAGTTTCCATGCCCACTTACTTGGAGCCATCCAAATGCCCTCTCTGCTTTCAACTGCTACTAAAGGTCCAACTTATTCTTGCCATCATTGAAGATTGAACACTTATAGAATGTTTATGAAGCAACAGTGCTTTACTTTTCTATTTATTTATTTGTCTATCTATCTATTTATCTATTTGGCTGCATCAGGTCTTACTTGTGGCATGTGGGATCTCCGTTGCATCTTGCAGATCTTTCATTGCAGGGCACTGACTCTCCAGCTGTGGCACTTGGGTTCAGTAGCTGCAACATGTGGGCTTAGTTGCTCTAAGCCAGGTGTGGGATCTTAATTGCCTTACAAAAAATCAAATCCCCATTTGTACATTGCAAGGCAGATTCTCAACCACTGGACTGCCAGGGAATCCCTCCTTTATTTTTCTAATATTTTACCTGTACTTAATCAATCTTAGCCTCATAAAACTAAAAATAGGCCATGCTAACATTTTTCCAATTCAGGACACGGAACTGAGGCAAAGAGGGATCCATATGTCTTTCCCAAGCACCTGCTTCTCCTGAACAGGATCTGAATCAGTTCATCAGGCATGGTCACCATACTCTGCTGAGCTTCTAGGTCTCAGTAAACAGAGATGTCTGTCTGCACAGCCAGGCTGTGGGTGTGTTCAGTGCACATAAACCTCAGACCTTCCTAAGTCCACCTTGGATTCAGGAGGCCCTGCTAAGCATCTGGGGAGGAAGGGGATGAGAGGATTGAACTGTGGATCAATGATTATTAGTTTCCCTGTGGTCTTGTGCCAGTAAGAAGTCAACAGCAGCCTCCATTATAATGTGTTTCCCAGGATACTTTGCCCAAAAGGCCAGAAGAAACATCCATCAGGGGTCAAGAACATCAACCTCCAGCTGGGTGAAGAGGGTTCATTTTTGGTCACAAAATAAGATTCATCCTATAACTGAGCCAGTTGAAGGTATCCTGGAAATTTTCTCATTATATTCATTCGTGAATAATTATCATAGTATGTGCAGTTCCTCATATTTAAGAAAAAAACTGTGAAATATTAAGGAATGTTCTTCTTTTATTTTGTGTTCAAATGGCAACTTACTACATCAGGTGATACTATTTTAACTATGGAAAGAAAGATGCATTTTAAATTCAACATCTGGTTCATGTTTAAAAGTGAAGATGGTCTCTAGCTATGGTTTGGACATTAGCAATTTTTTAACACTAGCTGTGAATATGTTCCTCCCTGAAGCCATGTTTCAAGATTTCTTTAAATTATTAGACTTTATATAGAACAGGATTCCATTGACATAATGTTGTACAGACAATGCAGAGAATTTCTCTATCCTATCACTTCAGTTTCAGCTATCATATGTTACTCACAGGTAACATATGTGTGGTTCATTTATTTTTTAATTTTTTTCTTTTTCATTTATTTTTATTAGTTGAAGGCTAATTACTTCACAACATTGCAGTGGGTTTTGTCATACATTGACATGAATCAGCCATGAAGCTACATGTATTCCCCATCCCGATCCCCCCTCCCACCTCCCTCTCCACCCGATTCCTAATTAGTGAGATAATGTATTTTAGTAACTAAAAGTCCACAGTTCACCTAAGATTCACACTTTGTTTTGTTATATTCAATGACATTTTAAATATGCATAATATTTATTCCCGCTATGGTACCATACAGAAATCTGTACTCTAATTTTACAGTGTATTATTAGTGCTCAAATGATAGAAACAACCCAAAGACTGTCACGTGTTGAATGGACAAATGAAATATGATATATACTCATAATGGTATACTATTCAGCCACAAAAATGAATTAAGCCACAAAAATATGCTACAAATGGATGGACCAAATAATGCAAAAGTATATTATAGTTAGTGAAATAAGGCCAGGCATAGAAAGACAAATATTGTATGGTTCCTGTGCTTATCACTCAGCCATGGGATCCTCATTCATGGAGCAAGGGGGTCCCTGCATCCATGTCCATGCATGGAGGTACTAGAAGGTCCAGGGGTCCAAATCCTGCCCATCATTATAAGGTGGGCTCAGTGGTCAAGGAACCCAGGGCAAGCAAAGGTGGATTAACAGCCAAATTTGGCACAGTCATTAGTATGAAAGGCACCTTGGGGCTCGCATCTCCCTGGTCAACTCACAGATCTAGAGAGTTGCGTGGCCTTGTGTAGACACTGTAGGTCATATATGTTTGTGCCACTGTCATTGCTTAAACAAGGACAAAAGCAGATAATGATCAGGGAGATATTTCATTGTACTGGCTGACACTACCACAAACCTTACATCAATTAAACCCTGTAGTATACACTTAAGTTAGTTATTTCAGTTCAGTCACTCAGTTGTGCCCAACTCTTTGTGATCCTATGGGCTGCAGCACACCAGGCTTCCCTGTCCATCACCAACTCTGGGAGCTTGCTCAAATTCATGTCCATTGAGTTGGTGATGCCATCCAAACATCTCATCCTCTGACACACTCAAGGGAAGGTGTCAGATAAATCTCACAGTGGAACTTGATAGTTAGCCTAGTAACCATGGCTTTTATAAATCTCCACAGCTGGGTGAGAAACAGGTAGCATTCAGCCTGTACTTCCTCTCCATAATGAACTGTCTCACTAAATGTATCACTTCTGTGATTGTGGACAGCCACTGACTCAGTGGACATGCAAACATTGTTTGGAAAATGAAGACTAGGAAAAAAAAAAAATCACCTGATTGATAATAGCTATTTCAAATAGCTATTAGACTGAATTCAGTCCTCTAACAGAGTTTGCTTTTAATCAAGAACAAAGTCTCAAAGAAGACTTGGTAAGGACAGTAGCTGTAACTGTGGATCCTGGGACGGCAGTGATCTGGGAAGAAATCCAGAAGATGGGGGTGATTTACCAGAAGCTCTACATGGACAGAAGGGTCATGGGTCTCTGTCTTTGAAAGCTGGCATGCATTTTAGTGTTTCTTTTTTCCCCATTGGTTAGGTTATCATTAGTTAAAATGCAGAAGTTCTATTTCATTTCTTTCCTGCTCCTGTCCTTTGCTCTCCTTTATCCAGCAAAGAGAATGATTCAACCGCGGGTCAGTACATAGTTAGTAACTTCCCACATGCATACATCCTACCCCATGGCCCCATCAAAAAAAGAAAAGCAGAACACAGTGATTGGTGAGCAGCCTCACCAGTGTCCTGACAGTTACTCTGTGTCTCACTAGTTCCCCAGGAGGACCTGGTGGAGGAACGCCCCCAGGGCTGGAATGAGGAACAGGAGCTGAGTACCCTGAAGGTAAGATCACATGTCTTTATCTGGGATGAGACTGTTGCTTCACTTCTTTAGTTTTTATTCAGTCAAATACAATTGTAGTAGTCTGACAATGTGCATTATCACTGATATGTAAAATTTACTTGGTTGGGGGAATATTGAGGGTAAATCTATTATCAGCACAGACCTGATTCAAAAGGACATTTAAAAAAGACAGCATCAGTTACTACTGTATAGCAGTATGTACCTTCCTTAGCAGAAATTTTTCCTCCTTGAAAAATAAGTTTTTAATTGTTGGTCAAAGTGAAACTGAGAGATCTTATGTGAAATAGGCCAGCCTTTTCAACATGGCGTCCTCTCTGTCTTCTTTTGGAGCCATTGACTTATAGAGTTTTTGTTTTCTGAGGACAAAAATAAGATCACAGAAGACTTAGTGCTGACATCCTCACTGTTTTCTTCTCTCTAATCATAGGTGCATGGAACAGCCAAAGAGATTGCTTCATATACAAATATCTACATCCCTCTGCTCAGATACATTCAAAATGATGAAGGTGGGGCTCTTTGCCGCCTCTAGTTAGAGAGGAGCCATGAATTTGGGTTCCCACAGGTGGTGAGGTCTGGGGGCACAGAACAAGAGATTGACCTCCCAGGAAAAAGTGCTGGCCCCACTCTAGTGTCTCCAGAAGCAACTGCATCATTTAGATGGTGTGGAATTATATGAATGAGGGTGTTTGGAAGTTGGGGATGGATTGAACTCACATAGTGTGATTACTAATCTGCCTGTCTGTGTATTTTCTCAGGAGATATTTCCTACTAGACAATTAACCTGTCAGTTTTCTTTGCAAAAAATCTTATCACCACTGCATACACTCTGTGCCTTCCCTCTTATGCCTTCAACATAGCTCTTCCCCAGGTTCAGTTCGTGTTCCCTTTAGTTGGCTGGAGATGGTACAGAGATCAATGTTCTCAGCTTTTGATCTCTTAAGTGGAAAAGTCAAACTGAAAACCCAGGGCTGGGTCTGAGTATGAATGCTCTGGACCCCTGACCTGCCTGTGTCAGTGAGACGAGTGATCCTCAGTCATGGAGCAACAGGTCCCTGCTCCATGTTCATGCCTGGAAGTACTAGTAGCTCCAGAGATCCAGTCCCTGCCCTTCATTAGAAGGTGGCTTCTGTGGTCACAGAACCCAAGGCAGCCACTAGGGGGATTGATGGCTGACTTTGGCACAGGCTTTAGTGTGAAAGTTACCTCTGGACCCTCATCCTTCTGACAGCTCACAGAGAGTTGTGGAGCTTCATGTAGACAATACAGGTCACATCCGTCAGTGCAGTGTCAGAGCTTAAACTAGGGCACAGATAAGAATCTGGAAGATGTGTTATTGTATTGGGTAGCATTACCATAAGCCTTTCGCTTGACGAAATCCTGCAGTGCACACCCGAGGGATAGTGGCAACTAAGAGCTCAAAGTAAAACTTGATTGTTAGCCTGGTGACCATGACTCTTGCTGAAAACCTCCTACCTGGCTGGTTTAGAGATGGTTAATGCTTACTCTGTGCTTTCTCTATTCAGTTGTTCAAATAAATGCATGACCCTTGTGAGTATGGACAGCAACTGACTCAGTGGACATGCACAGGCTGTATAGAAAACAAATATTTATACAAAAATATAGTATTATTGATAGTGGCTATATTTAAATGGCAGGAATTCAGTATTACCAAATCTTGTTTTTTTTTCTTTAAGTGATTAGTGAATTAATAGAATAGTGTACATTGCCTAGACTTGAATTCAATCCGCTAACATTTCATTTCTAATCAAGTACAAAGTCCCATGGAAAACACGATGTAGTAGCAGCAACTGTGGATCCTGGAGAAAGAATGATCTGAGAAAAATCAAGAGACAGTGGCAATTTAGCAGGAGCTCAAAATAAGCAGGAGGAGTCGTGGGTCTCTTTCATTGAACAGTAGCATTCATTTTAGAGTTTCCCTTTTTTAGGCTGAATATTTCCTTTTGATTAGGTTCCTTTTAGCTAGAGGGCAAAACTCTGTTTTCATTTCCTTCCTCCTCCAAAGAGGATGGATGAACACAAGTTCAGTCCATGCTTATTAACCTCCCACATCCATACACACCAGCCCGTGTCCACACAAAGAGAAAACCCCCTGAGTAATTCCTAAGCAGACTCACCAGTGTTCTAACAGCTACTCTGTGTCCCTCTAGACTTCACTGAGGACCTGCCAGTCAACCCAGCTTGTGATCGGACAGAAGGGACTGGGTGTTTCTCCAAGGCAAGCTGTTTATTTTTCTTTTTCCCCCTTCTGATCTGAGATAGAAATATTGCTTAATTTCTCTTTAGGTAGAATTAAGTTATGAGTCTTTGAGGATATCTATTCCAGATAGAGACAATTCCCTTGGTTGAGATATTGTGGAGTGAGTCTTATTACCAGCTCACAATGCCTCAGTCCACAGGATATTAAAATTGTTACCATCCATTACACCTGTAGGGTACAGCATTCTCTCTCCTGCAGCAACCTTTCCTTTAGGAAAAGAATTCTGCAATTTGCAACCCAAATGGACTTGGAAGTTCCATCCTCCAGGCACAGGTCTTCCCTTTCATCCTGAGTACCAGTGCTTTGATCTTGTTGGGTTCCCTGGACTCCACTGCTGTTCCTCATCAGGTTTTCTTCTCTCACCAAACGAACCAAAGATTGTGCATCAATGTGATATTATCCTCATAGTGTCTTCTGTACTTGCAGGAGGCCCTTTCAGCATGTGAAAGTGGTATGTTTTCTAGAACCATTCTCTTGGGGAGAAAAAACTTAGTAGATGAGAAATGGGGCTTTCTCACTGGTTTTAGTGTAGAGGCCAAATTGATTCTAAATTCCTTCTGGGAATGACTATTGGGGCCCTGGTGATAGAAAATAGTTTATAAGTAGAATAATGTGGAAGATTACTCTAGTTCCAGGGAAAAGCTATGTTTTGGTTGATAGTGTAGGTTCGTGTCCATGGAACTAGGTATGTCTCTATGTGAAAAGAATAGAGTGATTCTGTGTGTGTGTGTGATTTTTTTTGTGTGCTGTGTTTCCCTCAGTTTATGTTACTCTAAACATCACTGTTACTCGTGTCAACTTCCCACCCAAAATTCACATCACCATTGCACTATGAATGAGCATCTATATAAGAATTAAACAAAGTATACACATTCACTGTATGCTTGATTTTATACCAACTGAAATTCTTTAACCTGGAAGACAAATCCTATCGCTCCCCAGGGAAATGTTTACAGGATTCTTTTTAATTTGTATTAATTTTTGCAATTGGCCTTGCTGGGTCTTCATTATTGCACAGACTTTTCTCTACTTGTGGCAAGCCAGGGCAACTCTAGTTGTGGTGTGTAGGCCTCTTACTTTCGTGGCTTCTTTTTTGCAGAGCATGGGTTCTAGGGCTCTCGGGCTTCCGTAATTTTGGCATGTGGGCTCAGTAGTTATAGCTTTTGGGCTCTAGAGCACAGACTCAGTTGTTGTGGCCTGGCTTATATGCTCTGGGGCATGTGGAATCATTCCAGACCAGGGATCCAGCCTGTATCTCTTGCATTGTCAGGTAGATTCTTAACCACTGAGCCACACAGGAAGCCTTACGGGAATGTTAATGACCAAAACTGTTTCAGAATCCCCTTTATTGTGTCAATCACACCTTCATTTAATAGTAAATCTCATCTCNTCCCTCCTTTATTTTTCTAATATTTTAGCTGTATTTAATCATTCTTGGCCTCATAAAACTAAAAATAGGCCATGTTAACATTTCTCCAACTCACCACAGGGACCTGAAGCAAAGAGGGATCCATACGTCTTTCCCAAGTGCCTGCTTCTCCTGAAAGGATTTGAATCCAGTCCATCAAGCATGATCACCATGCTCTGCTGAGCTTCTAGGTCTCAGTTAAACAGAGATGTCTGTCTGCACAGCCAGGCTGTGGGTGTGTTCAGTGCACATAAACCTCAGACCTTCCTAAGTCCACCTTGGATTCAGGAGGCCCTGCTAGGCATCTGGGGAGGAAGGGGACCAAGGATTGAACTGTGGATCAATCGTTATTAGTTTTCCTGTGGTCCTCTGCCAGCAAGATGTCAACAGCTCTCACCTTTATAATGCATTTCCCAGGATGCTTCACCCAGAAGGCCGGAAGAAACATTGCTCAGCGGTTCAAGAGCATCAACCTCCAGCTGGGTGAGCAGGGTTCGTTGTTGGACACGAAATAAGGTGCACCTTAAAACTGACCCACTTGCAGGTACCGTGGAAATTTTCTCATTAATTTCACTCAAGAGTAATTATTGTAGTATGTTCAGTGCCTCATATTCAATGAACTAGGGCTGTAACCATTCTGTGAGTTGGTGTGGAATGTTAACATCTGTATAATGTTTTTCCATGAGTTAGTTAGTTCAGTCACTGATTCTTCATGTAACTTTTTGCAACCCCATGGACTGCAGCATGCCAGGCTTCCCTGTCCTTCACCATCTCCCGGAGTTAACTCAAACTCATGTCCATTGAGTCGATGATGCCATCCAACCATTTCATCCTCTGTGGTCCCTCCTTTTCCTCCTGCCCTCAATCTTTCCCAGCATGAGGGCTTTTCCAGTGAGTTTGCCTTTCACATCAGGTGGCCAAAGTATTGGTGCTTCAGCATCAGTCCTTATAATGAATATTCAGGGTTGATTTCCTTTAGGATTAACTTGTTTGATCTCATTGCTGTCCAAGGAACTCTCAAGAGTCTTTTCAGCGCTACTGTTCTAAAGCATCAATTCTTGGCACTCAGCCTTCTTTATGGTCCAGGTCTCACAAATGTACATGACTACTGAAGCATAGTGTGATTTTTAGTGTTTCCCTTTGTTAAACTGACAATTTCAAGTAAATGAGGTTCCCCTTAGCTAGAAAGTTAAAGGCTCTCTGACTCATTTCTGAAGCGTTCATCTCCTTTGCCTTCCTCCACCCATGAGGAAGGTTGTCCAACAGATCTCAGCCCACACTTATTAACTACCCACATCCGTATACTTCCCCCACATGTCTGCATTAACAAGGTCTTCCTGATCAGCATCACAGATGTCCTGACAATCCCTTTATGTCCTCCTAGAGCCCCCTGAGGACCAACTGGAGGAGGTCTCCAATTCAAAGTTGGAGGAAGAGGCTATGACCACCGCTGTGGTAAGTACCCCTTATTATCTGCGATAAAAGTGTTGCTTCATGACTTTACTTTTTTAGCCGAATTCAAATAAAGTTTCAAAATATTCAAGACAGCTGATATATGCAATTTTTAACTTGATGGATGAATGCTGAGTCTTACCCAGCAGACAACTTACTCAAAAGGAAATTTTTCAAAGATGGCAACATAAATTTAAAACTATAGTCAGGAATAGTTTCCTCAGCAGAAATTGTTCCTTCTTAAAATAAAATTTTGTAATTGCTGGTCAAAAGGGGCTGGAGAGATATTCTAGAAAAACTCCAGCCTTCCCCACAGGTGTCCTCTATGTTTTGTTTTGGGGCTATGGACTCAACAAAACTTTCCCATTTGGTTTTATGAGAACAAAACTAGAAAAAAAGAGCTGAATGCACAGTACTCAAGACGCTGAAACCCTTACACTGTTTTCTTCTCTCTACTCACAGGCATGCAAAGCAACCTATGAACATGGTAAGTATTCAGGGAACATTTTTCTTTTGAGGAACAATCTAGCTGATGAAGGTGGGGTTCTCTTGTTGGCTTTGGCTGGAGGGGCACCCTGATGCTGGATTCCTATGGGGTTGAGGCCTGGGGGTGCAGAGAAGAGACTGATCTTCCAGGAAAGAACAGTGTCTGTGTTCCATGGTCCCTGGGAGTAACTACATCATTTAGATGATGCTGGTTTGTGTGAGTCAGGGTTTGGGGCCCGTGTGTGGGCCCATGTGGTGTGATTTGGAAGCTCTGTGTGTGTGTGTGTTTCCTCAGGAGATGTTTCCCTCTTACACAGCACAAGTCAACTGAGAACTCTCTAAACACTTCTTGTCACACTGCCCCTGCCTAAACATTACCTGACTCTTTCCTCAGCTCAGCCATTCCTCAAGTTTGGTTAATATTCATTTTCCTCAGATGGACGTGCTGCTAAAAAATGGCCCAAGCTCTTGACTTCCTAAATGGAAAAGCCAAACTGAGGACCTCAGGGTAGTCCCAGTGTGTCTGCTCTGGACCCCTGACCTTCACTTATCACTCAGCCTTGAAATCCTAGTCATGGAGCAAGGGGGTCCCTGCGTTTATATTTATGCCTGGAGGTACTAGCAGCTCCAGAAGTCCAGACCGTGCCGATCATTATAAAGTAGGCTCAGTGGTCACAGGACCCAGGGCAAGCATAGGTGGGTTAACAGCCAACTTTGGCACAGTCATTAGTGTGAAAGCCACCTCAGGACTCACATCCTCCTGGTCAACTCAGATTCCGAGGGTTGTGTGGCCTTGTGCAGACACTGTAGGTCATATCTGCTGGTGCTATTGTCGTTGCTTAAACAAGGACAAAAGCAGATTATCGTCAGGGGGATATTTCATTGTACTGGTTGACATTACCGTAAGCCTTCCATTGATTAAACCCTATAGCACACACTCAAGGGAAGGTGTCAAATAGATCTCACAGTGGAACTTGATAGCTAACTTGATAGTTAGCCTAGTGACCATGACTTTTGTTGTAAACCTCCTCACAGCTTGGTCAGAGACAGTCAGCAGTCAACTCATGGTATCTCTCCATCATGAGCTGTCCCAAAAATATATGACTTCTGTGAGTGTGGGCAGTAACTGACTCAGTGGACATGCAAACGTTGTTTGGCAAATAAAGACTGGGAAAAAATACCACATGATTGATAACAGCTATTTGGAAAGGTAGAATTGAATTCAGTCCTCTAACAGAGTTTGCTTTTTATAGAGAACAGAGTCTCATAGAAGACTTGATAAGTACAATAGCTATAACTGTGGGTCCTGAAGAGGCCATGATCTAGGAAGGAATCCAGAAGATGGAAAATTTAGCAGAAGTTCTAAACAGGCAGAAGGATCATGGGTCTCTGTCGTTGAAAGTTGGCATGCATTTTAGTTTTTGTTTTTTTTTTTCCCTCAAATGGTTAGGTTATCACTAGCTAAAATGCAGAAGGTTTCTTTCTTTTCTTTCCTGCACCTCTCCTATGCTCACCTTCATTCAGGAAAGAGGATGATTCAACAGCAACTCAGTTCATAGTTACTAACCTCCCTCATGCATACATTCCACCCAATGTCCCCATTAAACAAACAAACAAACCAAACATTGAGTGATTGGTGAGCAGCCTCACCTGTGCCCTGGTGTCTGTTTTGTGTCCCTATAGCTTCCCATGAGAATCCAGGGGTGAAACGGCACCAGGCCTGGGCAAAGGGACAGCCTCTGAGTACTCGGAAGGTAGGTTCGCCTGTCTTTATCTGTGATAAGACTGTTGCTTCATTTCTCTATTTTTTTATTCAGTAAAATACAGTTATCTATGCAAGCTGACAATGTACATTGTCACTGATGTATGCAGTTCCTTGGCTGGGGAAATACCAAGTATAAATCTTTATCAGCACAGATTTGATTCAAAAGGACACTAAAAAACAAACAAACAAACAAATGAAAACACAGCATCTCCAACCAAAAGACACAGACTGGCTGAATGGATACTAAAACAAGACCCATATATATGCTGTCTATAAGAAACCCACTTCAGACCAAAAGACACATATAGACAGAAAGTGAGAGGATGAAAAAATATTTTCCTTACAAACAGGAAGCAAAAGAAAGCAGGAGCAGCAATCCTCATATCAGACAAAACAGACCTTAAAATAAAGAATGTTATAAGAGATAAGGAAGGACAATGCATAATGATCAAGCGATGAATCCAAGAGGAAGACATAACAATTGTGAATATCTATGCATAGATATCTATACATAGGAGCACCTCAGTACAAAAGACAAACACTAACAGACATAAAAGGAGAAATTGACAGTAAAAATAATCTTTAATAACTTAATAATCTAATAATAACTTAATAATCTAATAAACTTTAACAACTCACACCAATAGACAGATCGTCAAAACAGAATATTATTAAAGAACAACAGGTCTTAAATTATGCATTAGATGAGATGGATCTCACTGATTGCTTCAGGACATTTCATCCATATGCAGACCAATACAGCTTCTTCTCAAGTACACATGGATCATTCTCCAGGACAGACCACATCTTGGCTCACAAATCAAACCTCAGAAAATTTAAGAAAATTGAAATCATATCAAAAATCTTCTCCAACCACAATGCTATGAGACTAGATATCAATTACAAGGAAAAAAAAAACTGTAGGAAATACAAACACATGGAGATTAAACAACACGTTTCTAAATAACAAACATGTTACTGAAGAAATCAAAAGGGAAATCAAAAAAATTCTAGAACAAATGATAATAGAAACATGACAACTCAAAACCAATGGGATGCAGCAAAAGCAGTTCTAAGAGAGAAGTTTATAGCAATGCAATCCTACCTCAAGAGACAAGAAAAACATCAAATGGACAATCTAACTTTACACCTAAAACAACTGGAAAAAGAAGAAGAACAACAACAAAAAAAATTAGTAGAAGAAAAGAAATCATAAAGTTATAAGCAGATATAGTGAAGAGAAAATGATAAAAGCAATAGTAAAGATTAATAAAACTAAAAGTTGATTCTTTGAGAAGATAAACAAAATTGACAAATCTTTAGTCAGACTCATCAAGAAAAAAAGAGAGAAGAATCAAATCAACACAATTACAAATGAAAAAGGAGAGGTTACAACAAATAATGTAGAAATAGAAAGGAGTATAAGAGACTATTATGAATAGCTATATGGCAATAAAAAGGATAGCCTGGAAGAAATGGACAGATTCTTAGAAAAGTTCAATCTTCCAAGACTAAACTAGGAAGAAATAGAAATTATGAACAACCCAATTGCAAGCACTGAAATTGAAGCTGTGATGAAAAAAAAAAAAGAAAGAAAAAAATCCCAAAACATACCAAAACCAGACAAAGATGACACAAAAACAGAAAACTATAGGGCAACATCACTGATGAACAGATGCAAAAATCCTTAACAAAATTTTAGCAAACAGAATTCATCAAGATATCAAAAAGCTCATATACTGTGATCAAGTTAGGTTTATTCAAGGGATGCAAGGATTCTTCAATATATGCACATCACTCAGTGTGATATGCCATATTTGCAAATTTAAAGATAAAACCCGTGTGATCATCTCAATAGATGCAGAAAAACATGTGACAAAATTCAGCACCCATTCATGATTAAAACTCTTCAAAAAATGGGCATAGAAGCAACCTACCTCAACATAGTAAAGGCCATATATGATAAGACTACAGAAAACATTATTCTCAATGGTGAAAAATTGAAATCATTTCCCCTAAGATCAGGAAGAAGACAAGGGTATCCACTTTTGCCACTATTATTAAACCTAGTTCTGGAAGTCCTAGCTACAGCAATCAGAGAGGAGAAAGAAATAAAAGGAACCCAAATTGGAAAAGAAGTAAAGCTTTCAGTGTTTGCAGATGACATGATACTGTACATAAAAAACCCTAAAGATAATATGAGAACATTACTAGAGCTAATCAGTGAATTTAGCAAAGTTGCAGGATACAAAATTAATACACAGAAATCACTTGAATTTCTATATACTAACAATAAAAAATCAGAAAGAGAATTTAAGGAATCAATTCACCATTCACCATTTCAAGAAAAAGAATTAAATATCTAGGAATAAGTTTACCTAAGGCTACAAAAGAATTGTACACAGAAAATTATAAGACACTAATGAAAGAAATCAAAGATGACATAAACAGATAGAAAGATATTCCATGTTCCTGGGTAGGAAGAATCAATATGGTAAAAATAACTATACTACAGAATGCAATCTACAGATTCAATGCAATCCCTATCAAATTACCAATGCAGTTTTCACAGAACTAGAACAAAAATTCACAATTCATGTGGAAACACAAAAGACCCCGAATAGACAAAGCAGTCTTGAGAAACAAGAATGGAGAAGGAAGAATCAACCTTCCTGATTTCAGATTATAATGCAAAGCTGCAATCATCAAGACAGTATGGGGCTGGCACAAAAGCAGAAATATAGACCAATGAAACAAGATAGAAAGCCCAGAAATAAACCCATGCACCTATGGGTAACTTATTTTTAACAAAGGAGGCAAGAGTATACAATGGGGCAAAGACAGCCTCTTCAATAAATAGTGCTGGGAAAACTGGACAGCTACATGTAAAATAATGAGATTAGAACACTTCCTAACACCATACACAAAGATAAACTCAAAATTGATTAAA